ACACCACGGGCATAGAAGAAAAGACCCCCATAACATGTTCTGCCTGCATTCTGCTACACAGGTTTCTGGTCCAGGACCAGGAGTCCTTCACAGTGCCATGGTAATAATACATAGCCTAGAAAAAACTGTAGCACCTCATCTTCTCAGTCTGGGGCAGAGGCAGGTCAGCCCCACTCTATCAGTTAGGAGAGGTTCTGTGACTTGTGCTCAAGGCTGTACAGGTTCCCACAGGCCAGTGTAAAATGCAAGTCCAACAAAAGGATAGAAAATATTTCAGGTGCTTTCCTCCTTCTCATTTCTTGTTAAACTATGTTGGTTTTTTTTTATTACTCTGTTGCTTTCAGCTCTTGCTCACTCTTAGTCATCAACAGCAGAGCTGCACCCAGCTATTGTCACCTGCACTTTAGGCAAACAGATGAAGAACCTGAGACACAAGCATGCTACTGCCACTACTCTTACATGGGTCATTGCCCTGTCCCACCTTCAAGGTAGTGAAGGTCACACCTACCCACGTGTGCAAGAGAAAAATGGGGTGGTGGTTATGGTGTATGTGAGTTCCCTGTCTTGCTCTTCCACATCTATGAAGTGGAGATGTTTCTTAGTTAGGTGAGCAATCTCAGTCTCCTTAACAACCAGGTGAGGGGTCATTCCTGGGGCTTCTCTGGGAAGCTGATCATCCACAGGGGTAATGTGCACCATCATCACCTGAAATCAAGAAGACAGTAAAATCAGCAGCCATTCCTCTCAATAAGAGTATCCAAGCAGCTGTTTACAAACATAAACACACAGAAGCAAGTGGATCACTGGAATATGAGATATAGGATATGGCTGTCATGTCGTATCATGAATACATGAGTAATGGAGGTATACAACAGTTAAATGCAAAGCCCATGAGTCTTAGGGGCTTCCCTTTAAATTAAAAGCAAAGTTAAATTTTATATGCTGGACTCCTGGGTGAAATAAATAGTCTCTTCTCAGTTTACTTCAGAAGGACTGTTTAGTTTGTTTATGCCATCTCCAGACCCGATTTGTTTTCAACGTTTCATTTTACAGTGTAGGAAAAAGTGTTTGCAATGGAAATGTCTCCCTGTGGCCAGAAGGAGAGAATTACCCCATGGAAAGCAAGAACAAGAGCTAGCTCTGAAGAATGTTATTTGTGGTGATAACTATGGTGAAGGCAAACAGAAAACATATATCCCAGTTTGATTTTAAAATCTGTCAGAAGGTGTAAAATCATCAACCATTTGATGGAAAAATGCAGAACTCTGCCAAAGATGCTTTAGTTTCATACCTGTGGCTCTGAGAGATTGGGAGGGTCATGGCTGTCACACAGCACAAACTCAAGGGAATCTTCAAATATTTCTCCTCCCAAATGATGATAGTAAATTATTCCATTAAATAGATCCCTCTGAAGAAAACTGCTGACAGAATACCCTGTTGAATTGAAGAATATATTTTCTATTGAATAGTACATTATTTTAATAATTCACAAAAATTATTCATTAGGTGTGCAAGTAACTGGTGAAGCATAATATCCTCTTTCTCACTCTAACTAGGGCAAGCCCTTTGAAATGTTCTCTCATTGTCTTTCACATTTCCTGAAGATCATCATCTTCTTTTCTATGTCACTTAAAGATCATCCAAAATACGAAACACAGCAAATAGGCCAAAAGGCCTGTTCGGAGGACAAAATAGAATTTGCAGAACCAGCAGCCTCTGCAGTCTAGCACAGGGATTTCTGAGTTCAGTGAAATGGAAGGAGAGGTCTCTTCCTCTTTTAGAATCATTAGCATCATGTAATATCTTTGAAGTTGTCAGGGTTCCTTGCAGATAAAATAACTCTTACTAGCCCAACTTTCTGGAGGAGAAAAGTACAGTAGGG